ACAGAGCTCGCCACACCGTCCCAAAGCCCTCGGGTTTTATCTCCCAAAATCATTGCCCCCAAATTCAGGAATGTTAACCAGCACTTGTAGAAACTCCGCTGTGTTAGTAAGACACATAGTTGTAGTGATAACGAGCTGTAAGAGCATGCGCCAACCCGCTGCAAAGTAACTTAGGATAGGGTTGCGCAATCTCTGTCCAATTCCGACCTCCTGGTCCCTTTCCGGTGAGATGGAAGTGGGGTTTGCCCGTAACACTGCAAATCGAACGTCCGGTGCACTGCAAATTGACACGGTGCAAATCTGACAACTCAATGTTTCCACAAACAAAACGTGTATGCTTCTTCCATGCGGTTCCAAAACGGCAAAAATCGGCATAAACAACTTGTATGTGGGGCTGAGAACATAGTTGTTGCCAGAAGGGGAGATGCCAACACTTTGAACTTGCCGGGTTCTCCAAGATCCACGGAATTCTGAAACGGTCCAGCATGCGAATCAAAGAAAACATGTTCGAAGGCAAGCATTGCCCAACTGTATTTTCTCTTGTTCACTGGCTGTCAAAAAACAATCAGGCAATCCCCAAAGAAACTCTCGTGTACGAATCACTTTTGTGCGATCACGAGCCACTGAAAAACTGTTGCAAGGAGGCGCCATCATCACGGCTAGGACCTTCCCGGTCCAGATGCTGCACTTCAACTTGCGAACAACGCTACGACTTGTCAAGTCACATGTGTGCCCCAACCTAATGTCCCATTGCTTGCTCACAAAGCCTAACCTCTCACAGGCCAGTGCCACTCCTCCGCACCCAGAGAAAAGGTCTGCTACAAACTGCCCTTTCCCGTTCCGCCTAGGCGGCTGGAGTCGGGACACTTCTTTCTTCCAAGCATGATGTCGTCGAACGCCTCCTCGCAAGCCAGGGCGAAGTCCTTTGTCTTCTGCGGCACTTGCTCCCAGGTCCGAGCCAACCGGGCGGCTTTCTCGTACCTCACGCATGACTTTGAACTCTTCCACTGGCCTCTCTTCTGTACCTCGAGCTGCGACCTGTACTTTCGGCTTCTGTCGATGGAGGGGCCGCTGTGCCTCGTGTGATAAGGCTCCAGTGGCACCTCCATCTTCTTGGCAATCTTCTTTATCACTGCCAGGTACTGACTGTAGTCGAAGTCCCACAGGGCCGAGTTGCTGCTGGCCCTCTTCATGACCGTGAGGAACTTGCCAAGCCAACAATTCGTATAGGGAGAGTCTAACAGGACACTGACATCGTAGTCTCCAGTCTTTGAACTCTCCTGCAACTCTTCTGGGCTCAGAAGCAAGCTCCAACTGCTGGTCACTCCTGGTGCCGGTTTGATCAAACTGAAGGTCCTCAGCCGCAACAACTCGGAGGGGCGACTGTAGGTGGACACTGCTAGCATCACAAAAACGGCCATCTTGGAAAAACCCATGTTGATCATCAGACATGCCACTGCACATCAAATGCTCAAAGGGTATGGAACTCGCGACCGTCCAGGGCAAAGTCTTCGCCAACCTTTCAGACACCTCAGGGCTCTGGGGATCTTCTTCACCCCAGTCTTGCTGAACTGTGGGTGATGGTGCAACCAACTGGCTATGAGGCGGTCTCCAACATAGGCCTGGTGTCCTGCCAAAGAACAATGGTTCATGTACTGCGCCATCAACCTGTCCACCCCCTCGGCATCTTTCGGGTCCAGTCCCCGACACACTGCATAGTCCTTGAAGGCCTGAAGCTCTTTCTGGTACATTTTCTCTGCGGCTGTTCCAATGGCTCTCTTCTCCAAAAGACTCAGCCCATCCTTGTCCTTGCCGTCTATGAGGAAGTCCACATATTTGCGCCTCCGGTGTCGGGCGCGACTGTGCAAGTTCTTCTTTCTCTTCTGGGTCATGTCGACCTCGCTGCTGCTGTCGGAACTGCTGGACATGGAGAGATCGACTCCCAGGGTTTTGGTCTCCTCCCCTGGACTCTCCAGCGTGGGCAGTTTTCCCAGCACTCCCTTTGTTGCCAGGAGCTCGCTGGTCTCGACAGGCTTCAACAAGGCCTCCTTCTTGCTCGAACGACTCGGCGCAACAAGCTTTCCGGGCTTCAACACTTGCTCCACTCTGGCCGCCCTTGGAGGGACATCTCTCTCCGGGGCGGCTAGTCGTCTGGTTCTCTTCGGGGCCATGGGGGATCTCCGAGGTGAGCAGCTTGGAAGGTTCGTCCGTGCCAAAACGAGATGGTTCGTCTGAACTATTCAACTCACTAGGAATCCACCTGAAGCTGGGCTGTATACCTCTAGCTATGCAATAGGCATTGAAAACCCTCACCTGCCTCAGGAGCCCATACTGACGACTGCGGCTACGCTCGAGTGCTAAGGTCAGTGACATGTTGTCCAACAAGAAAAGCTGTCGTGTCTGCGAACCGTACCGGCTCATCGCAATCCGCTTCATCGCTTTCACGGCCGCCCGGGCCTCAAGGATAATGATGCCTTCGTTGAAGCGCCACTTTCCCCAAAGCTTTGGCTGCCACAATTGCTTCCTCAGCAGGCGGGCTGGAACCTCCTCAAAACTTTGGTCCAGTTTCCACCCGCTGAGGTTGAGATAATCTTCAGTTGAAAGATTGCCTGCCTTCCATGCACCTGTCAACTCATCACGAATGAACCCTGCTGAAGTTAAGGCTGACTCTCTAGCTGGATGATTGTCACAACGTTTAAAGCGGCTCCGTTCCTTCTGTCGACCAACCTTTCTGACATCCTCTAGCCTCCAATGTGATGTGCATACCCCATAGCCAGTAGTACTGGCGTCGCTGCAACACACCAAACTGTTCCAAGGGCGCCACCAGTCCGCTCGAAGAAAAATCATGAGTCCTGAAAAGGCTGTGAACTCACGACGCACTGCATCCCACATTGCCACCGGTTCAAAGTAGTGTGCTCTTATGAACTTGTAACAACTGTGGAAGATCGACATGAGCATACGGTTGTTCAATGCGCAAAAGGTTGCATGGCCCAAGACAACTTCAACCATCTGTCCCGTCACCTGCGGCTTTTGTAAAAGACCTCTGATGCTCTGTCTGACCTTGTGATACCTCTCTGGGCAAATTCGGGAGCAAAGAGTCTTGCCATCCAATATTGCCCCCAGTGCTTTCGTTTCTTCACTGTGGACCTCTCCTGGATGAAGAAGAAGTCCCTTGCCTCCAAAGTGACTGTCCAGCTCCTGGAGCGCCGACTGGACGACCCCCCGGTGAGGGGAAACAATGCCAAGGTTGTCGACATAGACGTAGTGCCTTGTTGTTGCTCTTGCATTGTCTCGGACTGCTGAGCTCTTGAATACCACCGGCAAACCCTTGTCTGTGATCAAAGTGGAGTCTCTAATGACCTGGTCAAGGCACACTGATGCTCGTTGATCGAAAACCCCATACAAAGACTACCCGGCATAGGATAAACAATGTCATTGCAGCCCAATGTAACCCCATCCAAACACTTCCCTGTCAAACCAACCCAGTGAGCCTTGATCGGCATAAAGCAAAAGTATTCTGCAAGCCACCGAGGTTGTTTGAGCCTGTGGAAGCAATCTTTGACATCGGACAAACCAACATGTAGCTCCATGGATTGAAGTTCCTGCAAAAACTCTGCACTGCCTGGCAACACACCTTCCGACACCTCACATTCGATGCGACTGAACCCTTCACTCGAACAAAGTTCAACAGTTGGGGGCTCTTTAAACAATGCGTTGCTCGACCGTGCATCCACAATGAGTCGTATCTTCTGTTTGTCACTCTTATGCACAAAGAAAACTCCAACATGGTTCTTGGGGTGTTGAGTGAACTGCAACATGCCAACACTGTTCAACTTTTCAATGAACTCTCTGTAATGCTTCTTGTTGTTCGCCAAAACAGGGTCCCAGTAAGGGCGGGGGGCATCATAAGCGCCCTCCTCCCTAAGCATGAGCTCTCTACCCAACAGATATCGACGGGCATTCTCCGGCAGAAGGTCACGAGCCTCCGGAAGGTTCTCCAAGCTGCTCGGGAGAGAAATGCGCTCGAGTTTGTAGGGAGCCAAAGCCACAGGGACTTCGGGTTGGTGATACTCCGACTTCCCTTTGAGCAGCTCTCGTAAGGCTGCCTCAGGTTTTGGAATCTGCTCCAAGGTGCCCAGCCGTCCTGCGTCCTGGGCTAGTTCATGAATTCGTTGTAAAACCTCCAGCTGAATGCCATCTGGTTCAACATCTGTACCATGCAAAAAACTATCACATGCCAGCCAGTTCAAGCCGTCTACTGCCTCCTTCACCGTCTCATAGTGTCTCCACTTGCGATCCAAACGCTGTTGCGACCGACGGCTCCCGGCCACAGGCTTCTTCGGCAAAGTTGGAGAGGGCAAAGGAAACAAATCTCGACTCACTCTGGCTGGATCTGGGCGTTGTCCTCCCATAGCTGCCAGTCTGCTGGAGACCCCCCGAGAGGACATAGGGGGCCCCCCATCCGCCTGAGTCATGTGTCTTCCGGCGGAGCAAGCTGCTTCGCCTTGGCCTTGCGCTTGGCTTTGGCAGCTGGTCCGCCGGGAGGTAGGTTGCCGTCAGCCACGGCGGAGGCGGCAGCATCTTCTGTGGGGATCTGCAGCCGCTTGTGCTCTCTCATCTTCGTCCGGGCGGCTGCAATCTCAACTTCCTCCTTTCCTTTCTTGGCTGCCCAAGTGCGAAGGGAAGGAGAAACCAGATCCTCTGGACCTTGGTATCCCGACATGATCTTCGCCGCCCCCCAATCTGGAGAGGCGGAGGAGCCGCTGTTGTAGGCATCGACAATGCTCTGCACCCTGCGTCCCAAGGCTTCAAAACAGGCCAAACTGCCAAGGTTCAACTGGTCATAGCAGCCTGCCAATTCGAAGCTCTCCAACAAGGCACGCATTTCATGCATGACTCGATCATTGTCATGCACTCCTTTGTGTCGGGCCCAAATCAACAACCATTGCTTGGGGCTGCCACCATTCTTCAACATGTACTTCATCAAGTGGAGCACGGATTGGGGCCCCTCCAGGGGCCAGTCCGAGTAGGAATACTCCCTTGCCTCTTTTGTGGCCTCCCTCCATGACCGGTATCTCTCTCCTTGATCATCATAGCAAACACTCAGAGTCCTGGCGTCCTCTGAGACCTCAGCGTCTTCCTCACCTCCAGCCTCCTCCTTCTTGGCGCCAGTCTCCAGGCTCCTGCTAGGCACACCACGAAGCTCCAACCGACTGGTCACCAGCTTCTCTCGCTCTTCAACCATTGCGGGAACCTTCTCAACTTTGAGCAGCTTCATCAAGGTCCATCCCTTCTCATCAGGGATGGCTCCATGGTCGCTGTCCAACTGGATGCCCTTCTCCAAGCCTACGTTGGCCTCCTTCCCAAGGTCAAAGGCGGAGGTGTCATGCAAGGCGACCCACATGTGGCCCTCAGGGGCCGGTGCAAGTCCTGACCTAGGAAAGCCTGACACTGCCACTGGGGAGGGAATGGGTTCAGCGACATAGCCTCCATCTCGACGTCTCAACCTCCGGGGCACTATCAGGCGTCCCAGGTAAGGAGAAGCCTCCACCTCCTTGCCTTTCATGTCAATGACCTTGCGGGGTGTCCAACTCAGGGAGCCACTGCCTAACTCACCTAACTCGCTCCACAAGCTCTCTGAACCGGTCGTCATCGGGGTAGGAACTAAAACGATACACTGGTTGGCTGATACGGGAGAAGTGACTAAAGTCTGTCTTCTTCAGTTTGAAGCTGATGGGACCCTCATCTGAATGGCCTGACCAGTCCTCTCTATAGAAGTCCCCGTCAGGGGTCAGCACAAACCACTCAGTGTCACCAGCCCTCCAAACCATAAGCCGCTCGTGATAAACTGAATCATCACTATACCACACGACCGCCAGCTGTCCGGGCGGGCAACTGGACAACACCTCCACCGCGTCGTCTCGGGCTCGCAAATGCGACATCGGCCGGAACCCAATCGACCTCCACAGCCTTTCGGGAAGACCGACCAAACAAAGCCCAACTGACCAGCACGCCCAGTGCAAAGCCTAGTCCAATGTCCAGGGTCCTCTGCTCAGTTCCAGCGCAAAAACACTGACAAGAACAGGTCTGGTTGTAAAAGTGGTGACTGCTTTCAGGGTGCCTCGAATCGTGGGATCCACTCCTAAAGCTCAAATCCGCAAGCCGTGCGAGCCAAAGGAGCGCCACGTTCGAGGGCTTCATGAAGCGGTCGCCCCGTCCCCCCTTTTAGCTTGAGCATCATACACCACGTCATTTCAAAAGTGAACTTCCTAGTTCAGTCTTCTCGTGACTACACCTCCATATATATATATATATATCTGTGTGCGTGTCAGGGTTTCCCATGTGGAGTCTTTTCACCTTCAAAAACACAGTCTCGTTTCGATGAACAAACATCTTTTTCGTTCCACACCTTTTTCCCGCCTCAACTCGAAGAGTCCAAAAACAAAATGATATTAAAAAATAGAAAACAAAAACAACACACCCACCCTCCACGGTCCTCCTCCGTCCATCCCCACCGCTCTTCGGGTGCGGTCGCGGGCACGTCTTCTCGTCCCCCGTGTCGATGTTCCGGATCCGGGTCGTTGGGCCTTCCGCACAAAGGAACGGAGACCGGGTTCACGCAGCTGAAAACGGAAGAAAACGGGTGACTTGGCTGGACTGAGGTGATGTTTCTATGTTGTTGTTGTGTTTTTATGTTGCCTTTTTTCCGAAGAAGACATTCTATGAGTAAAACCCCTGTCGGATTTCTACTAAGAAGGCTACCAGTTCAGGGTCGGGGCAAGCTATTTCTTGCGAACTTGTATCGACATTCCAGCATAAGTTCGTTCCCTATACCTTTGAGAAACTCGAACGGTCACAGGTTTGAAGCCTAAGTTCATATGTCAAGAGAATGGAAAAGGATTCTATACTGTTGGGCCATGTGACTTTACACATAGAAACTGAACAAGACTGATGATGGGTTGCTTCAGCGTACTAAACTTAACCCGGCGTCAATAAGCTGTTGAACTTCAGAAGATATCAACAGACATTGTCTGTTGATATCTTGTGGGCTGTTATTTGGGATCCACCAAACAAGCAAACAAGGGACTTACTCCCTGCGCTACTTCCTCCCCCAAAGAAACACTTTTGGGGGACGGAATTTTGGAGGATCTACGCTTTTTCGCGTACACCAATTAGCATCGTACAACGATTTCAAGAGATGGAAACAACGTGTCGTCCGACGTCCAAAGACTTCCCCCAATCCGGTTGGGAGCCTCCGTTTGCGCGGTTCGATGGACATGAATGCTTGTCAGTGAACACATCGTTGACTGGTTGGGTCAACCACTGAAAACCCGGTCGCGCCGACCTCCGAAATCCGCACTTTCTCCCACCTGGACCCCGCCTTCCATGTCGATGCAAACCACGGCATTGAGATTGTTCTCCCGATCATTGAAGGGCCTGGAAAGTGGGATGGCGACCAGTACCGATGAACATAGTCCAGTACCGAGGAACATCCTGGCCCCTTCGCAAAACGAAAGTGTAGCAGGCGGCGTCCATCTATCGCGCTGGGCACGAGCTGCTTTGGGCGTGGCTGTGTGGCTTTATATAGAACTAGGTTCTGCAAACAAATCCCAAACACAAAACAAATGAAACCACTGGTTCTTCGAGCAAGGACGTTCACCCTTTTTAGGCTTTTTGCCCCTTGGTTTCCCCCCTTCAGACTCCGCTTGGAATGTGAAGAAGTACACCTCCTGTTCAAGTTCGTGTCCAAAAATGTTCCTTCGCCTTCCAGCCTTCGGGTGAAGCCCCCCCCTTTCTCTTCAGCGTTCTGGCATAAGACATTTGTGCAAAAACCAGCCATGTTTGATGTTTCCGGGAAAGTTCGGGTTTGTTTCACACTTTTCAGCAATACAGTCTGCTTCTGCCCTCGCCTCACCCGCACCCCCACCACCACCGCTTCTCCGGCGGCCATGGCTTGCACCGGATCGGTGTGTGAGTGATGCCGGAAGACTGGGACGGTCAATGAGTCGTTGCGTTCCGTGGGCATCCTGCAGGAGGGAAAAATAATGTCCCTCTCCACCACGGAGGAGGCATTCTCCTTTTCACCGCCCGAATTCAACTAGGAAACATAGCATGGTATTTGAAGCAGCTTGGGCCGCTTGGGTGTGAAGTTCCTCAAATGTGGTACTCACTACTCTTCAGCACTACTCTGAATCCATATGGGATCCTTATATTGAGCGGTAGACGGTAGATCGAGGCTGTCCAGCTAGCTGTCCACAAGGGGGTCCGTTGGACAAAAAAAAAGGCTGTGAGGCAGTGAGGGCTTTGGATGGATCGGCATTTGGGTGGCTGGTCATTTGCTTGCATCAGAAGCGGCCTTGGTTGCTTTCTTGCACATGCGTTTCGTGGTTGCCTTGGTTGTGATCATCCAAGTGCCTTCGGAAGTGAATTGTTTTCAGCTCCAAGCGTTTGTTGAGGCCTCTCAAAACAAAACTATTGGAGGACGGATGGCCCAAGAGTCCGAGAGTGTTTAGGTGTTTCTTTACTCTGGTGTAAGGTATGCCTGCACTCTGATGAAACAGTAAAGAAAAGAGAGCCGTGCGATGGTGAGAGATTCCCCACAGGCACGGACTCACGCAAGCACACTTTCCACTCAGGCCGTGCCAATCTGCATGGCACAGCGACATCACAAACGTAATTTCGCCACACGCGTGCCACAGACTATAGATACAGATACAACATGATACAACAATGTCACACCAGCACAGTGTGCCACGGACTAGGTACAACGACATCACACCAAGCCTCGTGGACACTGCCAATCAACCTGGTACCTAGCGACACGCACGCCGCGCTTACTCCATCATGTTTCCCTTCCCCAAAATGGCACGAAAAGCACTTTCCACCGAAGCCGCACAAACCCGCATCGCACAGCCTGATTTTGCCACACGGCGTGCCATCATCCACTTTGGTAACATCCACCTTCGTTTTCGACGACTGTTACACACTTTGGCCACTTCCACCTTCGGAGTGGTTGGTTGAGCAGCTGCGCGGAGACTTCTTGACATTGAGCTCACACTGACACAAGAAGAGTACGAAAGTTGGAATACAAACAGTCAGTTGCTTGAACATGTTCCTTCGGGGCATTTCATTTCATCTTAGTTTCACTTGACCGAATTGGCTCAAGTCAAGGCAAAAGTCTGATGCGTTGCATTTCGATTGACACGCACAAATCGAGAAGTGTAAGCCACTCCACATAGAGAAGTTCCCCAACTTCCTAAGAATTGTTTTTAGGTTTGCTACCAAACTCTAGTGCCCTCCACTGAGCCGAAACTCCGTTTTCGTTTACCTTCATGCGTGTATCTGCAAATGCGAAGTCAGATGAAGTCATATATCAATTTGCAACTGCTTCCTTCCATTGTTTGAGCACTCTATATAGGGTGGTGCATTTCAATGTAGATCAGCAAGGAAGGCCACATACACAAAGCAGCAAGTCCAGACTTACTCTGCAAAGCAACAGAACACATGCAACTCCAGCACAAAAGTGTCCAAGTGTGCTGTCAAAACAAAAGCACGTCCAGCCCTCTACGCAGCACGCTTTCTCTCCTCGCATGGATTGCGTATGCTAAAATAGCTTCTGTCCCGAAGTCAAGACGTGAACCTGGCCATGGATCCAAGTTGAAAGCGGCAAACGTTTGCAAACTTTGAACGTCATAAGGCCTTCTGCTGGTGGCTTGGCCAGCGCTCGGAGGCATTTGTAACAGAGAAGAAGCTCTGAACTGATCCACACAAAAAGCTCGGTTTGGACAAGACTCGGGAGCAAAACCTGGAGGCAAAGACAAAATTGCCACTTCCCAGAAAAGTTCCATTTGCAAGGGTCCATGTCAGAACAGCTTTCGGCCATCTTCACCTACCAGCTACCGAAAAGATGGAGGTCCGCTTGGGGGTTCTCATCCGCGGGTCTCGGCATCAGCGGCCACCGGTTCTCGACTTGGCCTTCTGCGTTCGAGGCCACGGCCCGGAGCGACGACGCGGCCCCGACAAGGCGGAGCAACGACCTCAGCAATAAACATCGAAGCCGAGCTGGCAGAGCCTGGCAATGGGTCAAAACTTGGAGCTTCAAAGCCAGGTAGGTTAACCATGGTTAATCTCCACAATCACTAAAGACAAGGCCCCGATGTTCACGGGCAGCCGAGACAGTCGGCAGCGAGACACTGAAGCGTCCACACAACCAAGGCTGGCACGACCAAACCGGGCTTGGTTAAACAACTTCAGTGAGAGATCAAACAACTTGCAACTCCCTGCAAACCCACCGTAACGACCTTCCCGAACTTCTCACAAGTCATCCCAGAAACACAAGTCATGGTAGGTCTACCCAGCTCCCCAGCAGCTACTCTGAGCATTCTGAAGCCCCAAATAGCGTGAGTGCGCAATGGCTTTCAGCGTGTGTGATGGTTTTTCCTTGTTGCAGCTACAGGAATGCCTTGAGCACCTTTAACATAGCTTATATAGATCCAAAGTGGCATCACGACTTGAGATGACCGGTTGACCTCCACGCGCCAGTCCAGTGTTTACGCGAACTGGGAGGGCACCGCGAACCGAGGCACTTCACACCGATCCAACTAGATAGCACCAAACTGAGCGGTGTCACTATGGCGGTGTCACCTGCTGTCGAAGACAGAGTGAGCTCGACGGCAGGCTCTACATCCCGGCCGAAACACGATCTCTGCTTCTCACGAAACCAAGACATTAGCATTTATGACAGGTGGCAAGTCTCCACCGTCTCCACCTCCAACTGCTTGAAAACGTCCACCTCATTCTGAAGATCATGAGATACCCCTTCTTGCGGCCCAGCTGTTTGGACCAGGTCGAGATGCAGATGCGGTTCTGCCTTGAAGACTCCATCAAGGTACTGTCTTCTTGGGCCATGTTCTGATACAAATACCAAACAAGCCTGAGCAAAATGTCTCCTCTTCAGGAGAGGGATTTGCAAAGGAGAGTCGCGCCACTTGGGGTGGCTGGGGAGTTGTCTGTCGAGAAACAAGTGTTGGACGAGCTGAGTATCCACTATGTAAGCTGTTCCAGGCTCTCTGGCACTAGAGCTTGGGACTTGGGAGCACCTGTCATCTTTGGTCACATAAACTGCCTGCATGGAAAATTTAGCATCGTTCAAAACCTCCTCAGAATTCGTTTTGATGGGTTATTAATTCGCGAGTTCCTTTCGCAACACTTTTGCGGCTTGCGTTTTGGCTTTCGCATGCTGCAAAAACACTGTCGCAAGCTTTCGCGAACAGAACTGATTTTGCAAGCTGTCCAAAGCATTCGTGAGCTTTCACGCATGAAAAGTTCGCGAAATCTTTCGGGAATCTTTCTCGACTGCGTGTTTACCTTTCACAGAGGCATCTTACATTAACCCCTCTTCAAATTGTTACATGGGAAGTGTTGGCATCTGCTCAATTGGTCACAGAACCACGGCTCCTCTTGGGTTTCGAAGAAAAATAAGCGAAATTGAAATTGGGCTGTTCGTATGAGTTTCAGGCAAACCAACTGCATTTTGGAATGGCTGCGACATTCGAAGCCGCATCGGGTTCAAGAATCGCACAGATTCAGACATGGTCAGAAAAAGACATGGTGCCAAATGGTGGCCCCACCTATGCTGGCAATGGGTCTGGGGATCATGGGACCTATACAACTTGTTGGTTGATGGTTGGTGTTCAACCAAGGGAATACCCATCATTCACCCTGGTAGGTTCCAGAAGTTTGATAGTGGAAGATCAGATCCCAAATAAGATGTTGTCCCACCAAGTGCAAATCTGTTCTTTAGACCACTCCTGGTTCCTGGAAATATGGTGCATAATGAAACGGCAACTCTTGACATCAGGATCCCTTTCTCTGTGCCCTGCAGATGTGTGCCAAAGCAGGTGATGGATCCTGCTGGGCGCAAAGTACCCTCGGCCCTAACACTCCGACCAGTTCCTTCAGAAGCAGGTCTGACATTGGGCAGTCTTTTTCCACATGACCCTTCGCTCCGAACCTCTCGGTTGCGAATGGAGTCCAAAAATTCCCCACGCGAAGGCCACATCAACTGAACCTGTAGGTCCATAGTTCGGTTTCATCATCAGCGACGTGATGCTCTTCTCGCAGGTCGTGGGGTCGACCAGTCGACAGTCCGGTCGAATCAGACCGACCTGGCCTTTGGTCGAACATTCCGATGTCTTCCGGTCTTTGAGAGACTTGTCAAGTTGCAAAACGGTACAAAATCGAACCACACAAGCTTCTACAAAGCTTCTCATTTGTTTTTTAGCCTGACAAGTTGCATCACTGACAGCACACCTAGCAGGTTCAAGAAATTCAGGACGTGCCTGCAAACTTGGACGGCGGCTTTTCAAGACTGCACGCACTGCACGCCAACAGCAAACACACAATCTGGTGTCTTCGCCAAGATTGTGGTTGCTCCGTTTTCCAACATGGACACATTGGAATCACTACACCAGGGCCATCTGCAAGTCCAAAGGACTTGCACTGCTCCTCCAGCTTCATGAAAGAGAACAAAGTTCAAAGTTAGTTGATGGCTGCAATTGAAAATATGCTGAATTGACCGTTTGCATCAAGCGCCATCCCATGGAGCCAAGACTGGGTTGAATCTCTTCTTCCGACTGTTTGCAAACGCAAGTTCCCACAGCACAGGGCGGATGGAGATATGTTGCTTGTGGCAGTAGCTTGTGGATGTTTTCAAGTGTGCTATGGGCTTCTCAAACACATGTATGTGAAACGCTTTGAGCACAGGGCGTCTGCCAAACAAAAAGACATCGTCCGCGGCGCATGCATTGAATACATGCTCGATCCGGCTGCACCGACCTGTGAGCTTTTCAAGCGTCGACAAGTACTTTACTGAATCCTTGCTCTTTTCTTTGCAATGTCTGCAAGAAATGAGTGTCATCACAAACAGCTACATTCGTCGTCGAGTCCAGTTGTTGGTCAGTATTTGATAAAGGTTGAAACCTATGCTCC